GGCGGGGGTCCGCGGCGCCGCGGGGTGACGTTGCATAGTGATGCCGTGTGGTGACGTTGCGTGGTGATGCCGCACGGTTATGCCGTGTGCCTATGCCACATGGTGATGCCACGTGGTGACATCGTGTGGTGACGCCACGTGGTGATGCCGTGTGGTGATGCCACGCGTTGACGTGGTGATGCCATGTGGTGACGTCGCGTGGTGATGCCACGTGGTGATGCCGTGTGGTGACGTCGCGTGGTGACGCCATGTGGTGATGCCATGTGGTGACATCGCATGGTGACTTTGTGTGGTGATACCACGTGGTGATACCGTGTGCTGATGCCACATGGTGACGCCGTGTGGTGACGCTGCGTGGTGACACCGCATGGTGATGCCGTGTGGTGACACCGCACGTTGACGTGGTGATGCCGTGGAATGACACCGTGTGGTGACATCGCGTGGTGACGCCGCATGGTGATGCCATGTGCCAACGCTGCCTGGTGACACCGTGCGGTGACACCACGTGGTGATGCCGCGTGATGACATCGCGTGGTTACATCGTGTGGTGATGCCATGTCGTGATGCCACATGGTGACGCCAGATGGTGACGCCGCATGGTGATGTTGTGTGCCAACGCCTCGCGGTGATGCTCCGTGGTGACATCGTGTGGTGACACCGCATGGTGACGCCAGGCATTGATGCCGTGTGGTGACGTCATGTGGTGACGCTATGTGGTGATGCCACGTGGTGACACTGTGTGGTGACACCGTGTGGTGATGCCGTGTGGTGACACCACGCGTTGACACGGTGATGCTGCGTAGTGACACCATGTGGTGACGCCGCGTGGTGATGATTCATGCTGATACCATGTGCTGATGCCACATGGTGACGCCGCGCGGTGACGTGGTGATGCCATGTGGTGACGTCGCGTGGTGATGCCACGTGGTGATGCCGTGTGGTGACGTCGCGTGGTGACGCCATGTGGTGATGCCATGTGGTGACATCGCATGGTGACTTTGTGTGGTGATACCACGTGGTGATACCGTGTGCTGATGCCACATGGTGACGCCGTGTGGTGACGCTGCGTGGTGACACCGCATGGTGATGCCGTGTGGTGACACCGCACGTTGACGTGGTGATGCCGTGGAATGACACCGTGTGGTGACATCGCGTGGTGACGCCGCATGGTGATGCCATGTGCCAACGCTGCCTGGTGACACCGTGCGGTGACACCACGTGGTGATGCCGCGTGATGACATCGCGTGGTTACATCGTGTGGTGATGCCATGTCGTGATGCCACATGGTGACGCCAGATGGTGACGCCGCATGGTGATGTTGTGTGCCAACGCCTCGCGGTGATGCTCCGTGGTGACATCGTGTGGTGACACCGCATGGTGACGCCAGGCATTGATGCCGTGTGGTGACGTCATGTGGTGACGCTATGTGGTGATGCCACGTGGTGACACTGTGTGGTGACACCGTGTGGTGATGCCGTGTGGTGACACCACGCGTTGACACGGTGATGCTGCGTAGTGACACCATGTGGTGACGCCGCGTGGTGATGATTCATGCTGATACCATGTGCTGATGCCACATGGTGACGCCGCGCGGTGACGTGGTGATGCCATGTGGTGACATCGCGTGGTGACATGGTGTGCTGATGCCACGTGGTGACGCCGTGCGGTGACACCGCGTGGTGACATCATGTGGTGATGCCGCGTGGTGATGCCATGTGCCGACGCCGCGCTGTGACGCCGTGTGGTGACGCCGTGTGGTGATGCCACGTGGTGACACCGCGTGCCTCGCGCCTTGCTGCAGCCGACGCGGCGGTGC